GTTTAGGGATTTAGGGTTTAGGGGAGAACAAGGACGCCCTCGTTTCATGCAACTTGCATGCGTTGAGCAGCTCTTGCCTCCCGAAATCTGAGAAGCCCCATGCCCAGCCTTAACCCTCCACACTCGCCATAGCTTGATACCGAACCCTGCAAATTGAACCCCCTATGGATTCAAGTCGACATCATCGGATGAATCTCATAAGGCCCTTTAAGCACTCATGCCCCTCTGCCCTCGCGGGCCTGGAAACTGGTGGAGGGCAGGAGTGTGGCCAAAGCCCTGTGGCTGTATATCTTGCGCTTCAAGCGTTTTGGAGGGAGTACTTATAATGTAGGGGCCTTTTATAACTACCTATTTTGTGGGGGTTCCTTATTTTACGTATACTATCAAGGACCCTGAAACCCTATTCTAATTATTAAGGCCCCTACATTACTTATAAGCTCAGAATCCTTAAAGCTCCTGTCCTGTGTTGCCCTTTTTGAACTGAGGGCTTTGTTGAGGTTGCAAACACGGCCTGGCCTTCAACATCAAGCCCGTCATAAACATTGAAACGGTGTAGGGGTTAAGTTCTTCGACGAGAGTTGTATATAGAATCCTATGACCCGATTAAAGACCGCTTGAAGCCTTTCTCACCCCCATGAAACCCTACGAAACCCTTATAACCCTTGTAAAACCATATGAATTCGTCTGTCGGAGCACCGCCCCAAGGGGCCCGTGCCGCTAGTAGTCGGCGGGGCCGATTCGGCGACGGCCTCCTCGGAGAAGAAATGCCATCATTTGGGACGGTGTAGGGTTTAGGGCCTTATAGGGTTTTTAGGGTTTAGGGCCTTAGGGTTTTAGGGTTTGGGGTCTTCAGGGTTTAGGGTTCAGGGTTGGGGGGTGAGGGGTCTCGGAAGATCCAGAGCCTTGGCGCCTTGGTTTCGGGTCTGGGTCTTTTGTTTGGTTGAGGGCTTCGGTTTTAGGATTATAGGTTTTCAGCAAACAGGGGCACCGCGGCTCATCTAAAGCTCCTTACTATAACAAGGGCCCACTCGTGTCCGAAAATTCATAAAACTAGTGATTGCGGTGCTCAGCTCTAAAAATTTTGCTTGGAGGGTTTACAGCACTTTAGGGCTCTGGAACTTTAGGTTTTGCGAGTTTTGGAGCATCGGGCTTTAGCGGCAAGCACGGGGGTCTGAAGCTTTGACGTGGCGAACGCTGAACCCTAAACCCCAAAACCCTAAAACCTTATAAACCGTACAACTCTAAACACAAAGCCCCGAGCATCTATAAAGAGAGCCCGTGTCCTTCACGGTGGCCTTCGCTGGCACTGGAATCGCAGTCTCAAAGATAGCGGGCGTCGCAGAGTTATCGCCGTAGTCGGGGCCACTGGCACTGGCCTGCCTCCAAGATGTTCGTGTTTGTGTTCTGTGGGCCTTTTCGGGCGGTTGCGAGAGCTTTTATCTAAGTTGGGTTAAATAGAGTAGAGTAGTTGGGGGAAAGGTGAAGGGATTTAGGAGGAACTGGGAACTGTGGGGCGCTGGGGCGAGGGACCCCTCCAAGTGATATGGTCTAGACCTCGAATTCCAAACTGGCCCCAGACCCAAGTCCCAAACCACAAACCTACCACCCTAGGCTAAAAAACCTTGCAAAAGGGGCAAGCTGCCAGGAGGCCACGGGATGGACCGGAGCAGCGTCCTCACAGGCAGGAAGACGGTTTAAGGGCATGGGGGTTTTGGAGTGCAGCACAGCGAAGCAGTACGGCGGTTTAGGCTTTCGGCTTAACTGAGTCCACATTGCAGGGTTTGAGATGTCTAGGGTACCTTTTCCCGGGGTCCGGGGTCCATACCCACATCTACGTGTATGTGTGTGTGTGCGTATATAAATAAATAAATAAATAAGGCGTGGTATAATTAAGAAATGTGGAACCTCATTGCAAAACTCCTCCTCAAAAGCTTCTCCAACCCCTCTTCCTTGGGTCAAAAACACGGCCTCAAGAGTAGCAGAGCCCACTGAAAGCAGAGCCCTCTGCAGGTCGACGTGTTCACTTCCATCTCGAATCTGTTCCTCTATATAATTACAGTATCATATACCCCCCAAGCCCCATTCTAATTATTAAGGCCCCTACATTAACAGTTGAAGCCTTGAACCCTCTATAAGCCCTCAACTCTAAGCCTTATAGCTGATAAAAACCTTATAACCCTAAACCCTAAACCCTAAACCCCAAACCCTGAACCCTAAACCCAAACCTTGTAACCCTAAACCCTAAACCCCTAAGCCGCAGTCCTCCCGAGGATTCGTCAGATCCACCGTCTGCGTCGGCCTCCGCCTGGGCTTGGCCTTCGGCTTCCTCTTGGGCCTCACCTGGGAAGCTGGGCCCGGGTCTCCCAAACTCTTCGAGGGTTTAGGTTTAGGGTTTAGGGTTTAGGGTTTAGGGTTTAGGGTTTAAGGTTTAGAGTTTAGGGTCTTGGGAGTTAGGGTTTGGACGTATGGGTTTAGGGATGCTTGGGATTGTTTAGAGGAAGTGTAGGGGTTGTACCGACGGGTGAAGTGTCATTCAAAAATCCACGATCGAAAGGATCTCAAAGATACGAACCGCTCGGCCCCTGCAAGCCTCAGCCCTAACCCTACGAACCTTGAAACAAGAACTTACAAGGTTCGAGGCCTGCTTCTTCGTCTGGGTCCTGGCGGTGGCCGCCTTTGCAGCTGGGGACTCTTCGACGCGCGGCTCCTCGGCCTAGGGCGTTTCTCGGCGACGGAGGCGCGGAGCTTCACTTCAAGTGACATCCAGAGCTTACGGCAGAGCTTTTAGGGTTTCAGAGTTTAGGGTAGAGCTCTAAGATGGTTTCAGGGTTTAGGGTAGAATTTGCGGTTTTCGAGTTTCGGGGCTTGGACTCGGTAGGGGTTTCTCAGTCGGGCCGAAGCTGATGCGGCACGAGACTTGCTGGGCAAAAGGAGCCAACGCCCCGAGCTGGAGGATTGTAGCCTAAACCCTATGAGGGTTTGGGTTAGGATTTTGGGGTTTTAGGGTTTAAGATTATATAGGTTATAGGGTGGAGGATTACAGGATTCTCCACAATCCCAAAAGCCCCGTGGTAGAGGCAAGGCTCCAGAAACTTGGGAAGCCCACCACCTTTTCTGCCAAGTATCGTCGCTGTTTATCCTAACACAGTCCAGCACCGGCGGCTCCTGAGTATCGGAGCTGGGGAACCGGGGGGCTTCAGGATATTTTACAACGATTGTTGACTAACATACTATACTATACTCTACTGGACTATTCTAGGCCCTAAGCCCTAAACCCATACTATACTGTACTTTACTATTCTAGGCCCTAAGCCCCAAACCCCTGAACTGTAACTCCGTGGCCGAGGGTCAAAGCTCCGAACCCCAGGGCTTCGACAGCCCGTACCGACGTGCTAAAACTGTACGGCTAGGGGTTTCTCAGGGGGGGGGGCCGGGGATACAGTGATACATCTTTTTAGTGAGTCTTTTCCCTAACCCCTAAACCCTAAACCCTAAAACCTAAACCCTAAACCCTAAACCCTAAAACCTAAACCCTAAACCCTAAACTCTCATCAGGAGAAGCCCATTGCTTGGGCAGGGTGGTCCTGAGGCCCAGGCCTCCGGCAAGGAAGCCATGTAGGGATCATCTTGGGCAACCAAGATGATCTCCTCCTCTTCAGGGAGCCTCCCCCCTCTTCTCTCCGGCCCGCAAGGTTAGTCAAGGCTTTAGATGCCCTAAACCCTAAACCCTAAACCCAAAACCCTACAAGAGGTTAAGGGCCTAGGGTTTTTGGCTTAGGCTTTAGATGCCCTGCACTGCAAGCTGCTGCGCCCTCCCGGCTTCCGCGTTCTAGGAGTGCAGGCCAAGCGAGCAAGGTCTCATCCGCTACCCCCGCCTCCGATCCGTAAGGGTCCTCCACCGCAGAGGCCATGGCGTGGTGACCATGAGCCAGGAACGTGGAGGAAGGCTCCGGAGTCTTGGAGTTAGATGAGTGCTGGCTTAGGGTAGGGCTAAGGTGGGGGGACGCCCCGAGGAGGCTGGGCTTAAAGAAGCTTCAGGGTTCAGAGCCGCCTTTTGGCCTTGTCCTTCGGGGAAGCGCTGCATTCTTTGCTTCGGAGGGGGCGAGCCTAGACTCGTGTAGCGCTCATCCTGAGACATGCTTAAACTGCACACTCTTTGAGGGCTTAGGGTTTAGGAGTTAATAGGGTTTAGTTTTAGAGCAAACACCCTACTCTAAACTCTATGAGGGCATGACTACTTCGCTCTTCCTTCCCTCTGCTTTTGCTCATGTCAAGGCCGCGATGGGCCGCGGGCTCAGAGCCCAGTGGCTGCGGTAGTTTTGGGTTCCACCCTTCCCTCGCAGCGAACTCGGATATCCTGTTCGTGTAGGAACCTGATGGAGAAATCTGGGCTTCTTCTTTGGGGCGATAGAGCATGGAACACGCCGTCACAAATGAGACAGCACGGAAACCTCGCAAAACCCTTGCCGCCTCCTGAGATAGTCAAGGGCCTTCGACAAGGAGGATGTTTATGGATGATTTCCTCCATGGAAAACCACGAAAACGAAGCCCTCCGCTCCGAAACCAGTTCAAAGACCTCAGAGGCCCGATCCCAAACCCTTCAGTAGAAACCTGGAGAAAAACACACCAACCAAACACACTAGGGTCACTAGGGTTTGAGGGCTTAGGGCTGAGGGGAAAAACGAGTCGAATTCAAGACCCCCTAAACCCCTAAACCCTAAACCCTTAATCCTGAACACCAAACCCCATATCCGAAGCCCTGAACCCTAAACAAGGCCCTCAAGCCGTAAGCACTTCTGGCGGCGGGGCTCGACGAAGTCCTCCTCCGTGAGGTGGCCTGGTGCCAGCCGGCCAGAAGGAGCCTCGGCGAACTGATGTTCAAAAGCACATATTATTGGACCGGGGCTACTTGTTAGCTTTGCTGTTACTGCTATTTATTGCGATTGCTATAATTAGTGCGATGATTTGTTGATGACAACCATGATTGGCTGTTGGAACTGGATGGTAATATTACGAATATTCTTAGTGTTCGTGTAAGTATGTTTTCACGAGTACTACTCGCGGGTGATTGTTTCTGTCACGAGTCCTATGAGTCATATTACTTGTATAGTAGCAATATTAAGGAAGACTATTGCTCATGATGCTGATTATTGCTTGTATGAGTATTGCTTACGATTAGCACTATTACTGCTGTTATTGCTGCTATTGTTGTTGCTTTTAGTAATACTCTTAATACTATTACGAAGAGTAATTTTATTGCAAGGACTAATAAGATGAATATGAGTAGCAATATTGGGATGGTCTATAACTATAATACTCGCATTGTGAATACTATTAATGTACTCCTTTTCACTATCATTATGAGTAGTAGTAGTAGTAGTAGTAGTAGTAGTGCCACAGGCACTGACGAGCGTGCCGTAGGTGACTGCCTTGGGTCTCGTCATAGAAGTAGTAGCAGCAGCAGCAGCAGCAGCAGTAGTAGTAGTAGCCCTCCCCCCACCAACCACCTTTCCTGAACACTGTTCTTGCTGGGTGGTCGGCTGGGGGCGGCGGGATGGTTGATCGGGTGGGGTGGTCGGGGGGATAACGACAAACATGGCAGCCCCACGCAGAAATTCTGCCGCCACTCTAGCTTGCGCTTAGAGTACGCGAGTCAGCCATGGCCAAGAAGAACTAGAAGCGACTACGTGATGATGTTCATGACGATGTTTTTTCATTTGTTTCTTGCACATTCTACAGTTTCTGCGGTTTTGAGGGTCCGGTTTCCTGCATACAGTTAACTGTTTCGCCCCCTTGTGTTCGCGCTTAATGTGTGAGTTTTCCTGCGTACTGTTCCGTGTTTGCCCATCGGCTTAAGCGAGAGGTGGTTGGTAGGGGGTGGCTAGTAGTAGTAGTAGTAGTAGTAGTAGTAGTAGTAGTAAGTAGTAGTAGTAGTAGTAGTATTAGTAGTCGTGGTGGTGGTGGTGGTGGTGGTGGTAGTGATAGTATTGTCTGTATAAGTAGTATAAACAAGAACAAAAATGGTGATAAAGATCATCTTTGTTTACATTGTTTTTCCATTATCAATATCGTTATTGTTACTGCTATTGTTATTTTAATTGTTGGTAGTACTACTGTTATCATGTTTATCACTACTACAATTACTGTTATTATTATTGCCATTATTAGTATTACTATTATTGCCATTATCATCATAAACTTTTTTATCATTAGCATTCGTCATTATTGTCAGTAGCATGGCCATTATCATCTTTAGTACTGTTGGTTTTTTATTATCATTGGTATCATTGTCATTCTTCGTATGATTATTACTATTATTACCATTATTACTATTATTACTATTATTACTGTTATTACTATTATTACTGTTATTGATTTTGAGTTTTATCTTTAGTTTTATCATTATCATCGTTTTTTACCACGGCTGCGACCATTTTTGTTATTACCATTGTTAGTGTTATGATCACTATAACCATCACTAGCAGTAACACTTTTATTGTTGTTACTAGTATTCTAACTGTTATTGCTATTATCATCATTATTAGTATTATCAACACCAACGACAGCATCAAATACTGCTACAGTGGGTACTACTAGCAATCAAGCTTTAATGTTGAAGCTTCGTACTTCTGACTAGCACGAGTCCTTGTCCAGGTATGAGCAGGTGCTATATATTTTCCAACCTCTCAATCAGCAATTCGGCTTCTAAGCCCTAAACCCTAAACCCTAAACCCTAAACCTAAACCCCTAAACCCTAAACCCCTAAACCCTAAACCCTAAATCCTAAACCTCGAACCCAAAACCCACGGCTCCCAGGACCTATTGCCATATCAGGTTGGTTGGCCAGCGCCTGGGGCTGTGCTTGAGCAGGGCTGTGATGAAAAATGCAAGGGGGAGGCACGCACATATCTCTATGCTCAAACTTCTGTATATGTCTGTGTGGATTCACCGTTTTATGACCTTGGGTCTTTTGTTTATCTATTTACCTACCTGTTTAGGGTTGGAGACATACGTATGTACGTAGACGAGTATGCACTGTGCATAGACATGTTGAGTGGGTATATATCTGCAAGACGTGAGCTTACGATGTTTGTTTATCCGAGCAGATATATTGGGTGTGCGCATGTGCACACGTAGAACCTTTCTCTACATATGAGGCATGGTTTACTTAAACAGTCTCGGGTCTTTGGATCTCTAGAAGCACGACACTGTCCTACAGCTACATATTATACATTCGGTACGTAATACTACATGGCTAGGGCCTTTTATAGGGAGGTGAATTCGGGGGTGCATCAAGGAGATTTCAAGGGCCTGCCTAAACGTGCTGAAGTACCCCAGGGGTCACGAAACCTGGGGTAAAAGGTGTGAGCTTGCCCTATGGAATGGTATACGGGATGTCCTTGTGACAACAGGGCAAAACTGCAATGTTGAATTTGTATCTTGAACGCAGCAAGGACAGTTTGGCCGAGTGGTAGCTTGAGGATACTTTCCCAGACCATATTTTTGAAGAAGTTGTGTCTTTTGGTTAAGATGGTTTTCAGCTCAGAGCAGTGTTTTGGTTAGGAGCTCTTTCTATGAGCTTCTCTTCAGAGCATCTATGTTCTTCAGAGCCATCCCTAAACCCTAAACTTCACCAAGCTGTAGACCTCAGGCTTGTCCGGGTGTGAGTGTCAAAAACTTCACCAAGGAGAATCACTCTCTTCAACGTCAACGAATTCAGCCATCAGGCCATGAGCTGAAAAGCTTGCCCAGGAGAGAGAATTCAGAATATTTTGGATATTTTGATGCAATACGTATGTTTTGATTGTATATTATATACACCGTATATCTACACGTATATACACACACTATAAACATGTGCACGCACATTCACATATATATATATATATAGATATATATAGATATACATACGTACATATGTATATATACATATACATATACATATGTATACATATACACGTAACTTTCAGGACCTCTTAACCCTCGCCTGCTCGTCGAGCGCGAGTGCCAAAATATATGTATATGTGCGTGTCTTCTGCATGTGTGTTCATATATACATACATATGGTAACCCCACCCCCCGGAATCCACGCCTTTAGTCT